GGAGGGGCAGGGTGTCTGCCATGAGCACACTGGGCACTGACTGCAGGAGCCTGGGGGGCTGCAGCTCCTGTGCCCACATCATCCTGCACCTTGCAAGCAGGAAAGAAGAAAGAAGGCGGCACTTTGGGTCAGTCACTGCTCCTTGAGACTGCTGGCAGAAGGGCACTCTCTTGGTTGGTCCCAGCTATCAAATGGCCCTGGGCAGCTCTTGAGCAAAACAGGGAGAATTTTTAGCAGCTTCTCTCCCTGGTCTGCTTTGCAAGAAACAATTTGTTTTGCAGTGGGTAGCGGGGCCATCTCAGAGGAAGAACTCTGATGCTCCATTTTTGATGGCGCATTGTGCTCATCCGCTTGAAGTGCTGGCAGAGGGCAGAGACGTTTTGCCTGGTGGTGCAGGCGGGTTTTGTCTGAGCTGGTTGTCTCTTTGCTGTTCGTGGTTTGTCCAGGTTTGGCTTCCCCAACTTCCTGTCCCTCATGTTATTTGCAGTGGTGGACTTTGTGTCGTCAGACCTGGAGGATGTTGCCCAGAAGTGTTCCCTGTCTTACAAGGTAAAGGATGACTCCTATGTCTGGGTGCGTTGACTGGGGAGCTCAGAGCTGTTCAGCAAACAGCTTGCATGGGCTTCTCTTGGGGGGACCTTCTGCAGCAGATGTTGTTGGCCTTGGACTTCCTCAGTCCCGTTTCCAGAGGTCTCTCTGCCCACCAGGCGCTGGTTGCAGTGAGGCGTGTGCTCCTGGCCCAGTTCTCTGCCTTCCCCACCAACGGAGCAGACCTCTATGAGGAGCTCAAGCGCTCCACGGCCATCCTGCCCACTGGGATCCCAAGGTGGGTACATTGCCTGGTGAGCCAGCGGGTCTGCCTGGGGCTGGGCTTGCTGCAAAAGGCCATGGTTGCCCAGTGCAGGCTTTGAATTTCAATGTGGTGATGCCCTGAACAGGCTCAGTGATGTCCAAACCATCCCCAGCAGCTGTTTTTAAAACTTCCAGCCACAGCCTGGCTCTGCCTTTTGTGAGCATGAGATGATTATTCTTCATGTCCTGTGGCTGCAAAGCCAGCTGGTCGGTGTCCCTTGAGGGAATGACATTGCTGTTGTCCTCACGAGAGCCTGCACTCCTTTTGGGATGTGATTGTCTTGCTTCTAGACTAGACAACATGCTGCCTTCAGCCTTTCCCTTGAGGGCTTCAGAGAGGAGGGTTATGGATCTGGGAGGACTGTTGAGTGATGATGGTCCAAACTGTCTAGATCAGCATGGAAATGAGTTACTCTCCCACATGTACTTCTTTTCCCTCATCTCCTCGCTGGATTGTTGCAGTGATTATGCAGAGAAACCCTGGCTATTCAAACCTTGCTCCCAGGATCAGAGCTCTTCTCTAGCTCAGGACTGTCCTCTTGTATCCCACACGTTGCAGATCTGCTGTTGCCCACAATGTGGAGCGAGCTAGGGATGGGAGGGAAGGAGCAGAGCCTGAGGCACTTGTCTGCATTTGGGAAGGGGACTCCAGGGACCGCTGTTTCCCGATGCCCCTGCCATTCTGGCTGAAGATATGTTGATAATCCCACCGTGTTCAACCTGTAGCCTGGACCAGCTGCTGGACTCCGGGCTGTACACAGGGGAAGTGACAGAGCTCATGGGATCACCGGGCAGTGGGAAGACGCAGGTGAGTGGGACAGAGGAGGGGAGAGGACAGGGAGGGTGAAGATACCTTCAGGCACATGAAGCAGAAGGACCTGGGAGGGTTGTCTGATGCCCTGTCCCTGCCTCTCCAGGTGTGCCTGGGCATCGCGGCCAGTGTGTCTCTTGGCCTGAAGCAGCACGTCCTGTTTCTCGACTCCACGGCAGGGTTCACCGCCTCCCGTCTCTACCAGATGCTTCAATCCCAGGCAGAGGATGAGAAAGAGCAGGCAAGTTCCCCTGGAGTGGGTCCTGCTGCTGCTCCTCCAGTTGTACTAAACCTGCCTTGGCTCTTGCCTGCAGACAACCCCCAGAGACAGTTTTTCTAATCAGTTCTGCTTTTGTGCCCCCATGGGCTCTTTTGGGTCCAAACTCGTCCTCCCATGGCCAGATGGGAGCTGTGCTTGGGGATAGACATTGCACTTCATTTTTTTTCTTGAGGAGAAGGTGGGGAGCCTTACTATAGCTGCTCATGCTTTCACTCCTTGAGCTCAATCTACATTGCTTCTTCCATCAGTGCCTTGGGGACAACAGCTTTCATGGGGTGGAGGCATGTGTGGAAGAAATGAGTCCCTGGCTCCATGGTGTGGTGTAAATGCAAAGAGCTGGTAGCAGCTGAGCATATGGTGGAGGAATATGGTGGGTCCTGGAGGAGGTGAGGCTGTTGTTGATGCCACTTTGTGCCACAGCTAGAGGCTCTGCAGCGGATCCAGGTGGTCCGTGTGTTTGACATCTATGAAATGCTGAGCGCCTTGCAGGAGCTGCAGGATCGCCTCTCCCAGCAGGTAGGAGCAAGGCTCCGGGCCCCTTCCCCTTCCCCAGAGCTGCAAGGAAGGCAGCGAGGCTCGTGTGCCTGATGAGTGGCACCAGATCACTCTGTCCTGGGGACATTGGAGCCTCTGTGCAGCTCATGACCTCCAAAACTGCTGGATTTGTTACTCCACGTTGCTCATAGTGCCGCTTTCTTTCAGGTTGTGAGCTCCACGGGACCTGTCAAGGTCGTGGTGATCGACTCGGTCTCGGCTGTGATTTACCCACTGCTGGGCAGCAAGCAGTCGGAGGGTGAGCTGCTGCGTTAGGGTGTGCAATGAGGTTGCAGACCTCTATGTTTGTCCTGAAGAACATCTTCCTCCCATGTGTGCTGTGCCTGGAGCTGGGGCAGGATGGATGTGGGTGCGACTGCTGCCAGCGTTTCCTTTGCAACTGGATAAAACAGGAGTCTGTTTGAAGTGTTAGCAAACATTCAAGCTGGTTGTGGCTGTGCAAGCTCACACTGGTGGTCTGAAACCTGGCCAGGGGACAGAGGAGGCACTGAACTGTTTGTCCACAGATTAAAACCTCTGCTTACAGTGTCACAGATACATCGTGGTTCCTGGCACAGTTTGCAAAGCTCTCCTGAGGCTTTTTCTCCCACAAAAGACCACAAATCGGGAGCGAGGGGCTTTCTGCTGACTGAGATGCCAAGGAGGCCCTTCACACATCTTCCAGAGGGTGTTGGGTGGTGGCCAGTGCTATCACAGGAGGTCTCCTTGCAGCCACTGGCTGGAGGAGACAAAGCTGTGAGCTGGAGAGGGGGGTCCTGTACCTGCTAAATCAGCCAGACTGGCCTTGTCTGGAGCTACTGGTGCTCTTGTAGGGTTTTTTGGCCTCATGGTTTCTAAGATGGGAAAGGAGGACATGGAACAACTCAGGAATTGGTCTGTCCACACTACATCCATTCAGCTGATGTGCCCTGGAGCGTGTGGGTGTGATGGGTGCACTGGGGTGCTGGTAATGGAAATAGGTTGAAGGTGCCCATGAACACCTGCACTGACACTGAATCTGGTGCTCGTGCAAATCCAGATGTCACCTGCCTCCAGGGTGTGCTTTAGGGGCTGCTCCCTCTGTATCAGTTGATCCTCAAACACCCAAATGCTTTGTCCTCCTCCAGGCTTGGCCATCATGATGCAGCTGGCTAGGGAGCTGAAGACACTGGCCAGGGAGTTCAGCCTCGCTGTTGTGGTGAGTGTTGCTGCACCTTGTCCTTTGTGTGCTGGTACGTGCCATGGTGAGGAGCCCTGGGGAGGTTATGGAGCTCCTAGGAGGGGGAACCCTGCTCCCAGCTGAGCAGAAGCAAGAGACTTCTGCTTCTCTGCAGCCCGTGGATGTCTTATTCCAGCAAATGTGTTGCAAGAACAGGGCTGATCAGCTCCCTGCTGTTATTGCTGTGCTCAGCCAGCAAGGTAGTCGCTTGATTGAGCAAGGTAGGGTTAAGTACAGACAGATGGCAAGGTTGTTTGTATTTACTTTTGATATAACATGGCTCATTTAAGGGGCTGGCCAGCTCACTAAGCAACCTTTTGCTTAGTTACCTTGGAGGAACTGCAGGGCATTGTGTCACCCAGAAGGAGATAGGGACTGGAAGGGGCTCTGCTCTAGTCTTCCCTGACTCTTGGCCAAGGAATCACGTTTGCTTCACTGTGCCCAGACAGGTTGCTGTGACCACAGTGAAAGCATTTTAATTGGGGTGACCACAACAGCAAATGGTGGTCTGCTGAACCTGGTGCTGGAAGGTGTCGAGACAGTCCTGCTCTTGGCTCTGATGAGTGATAAAGTGACAAGGACGAGGTGCCTGGAAGGATGCTTAGAGGCTCCAAGCTAAACTTCACAGGTGGCTTCAGCACCAGGGGTCACTGCAGCTCGCAGATACCGAGGGAGCTCCTACCTGAGTACATATCTGGGACAGCTGCGTGGGCTGTGTTTAGAGGGGTTGGCACAGGTGTGCCAGGATGGGGAGGAAAAAACTTGCCAGAAGTAGCAGATTGGCTCCTTACTGGCAGTTATCTCCTGGTGATCTCCGGTGTTTCATTACACGGAGCAGCCCTGCTTTTCTTGGGCACTGATAAGCCTGTTTGTGCTGCAGGTCACTAACCAGGTGACAAGGGACAGCAGCACCGGTCTACTGAAGCCAGCCCTCGGTCGCACCTGGAGTTTCGTGCCCAGCACCCGAGTGCTGCTGGAGAGCAAAGAAGCCACCTGGGAGAAAGCCACCACGAAGCGTGTCGCTTCCTTGGCAAAGTCACCCCGGCAGGTGAGGCTCCCTGGACCAGTCTGTCTGGTGATGGAGAAGAAGCTATGTGATGTGGACCTGGCTTCGGAACAGGGGGAGGCTCCTTCTGGGGGCAGAGCAGGATCAGGCCTCACTGGGTGATCGGTGACAATGGGAGAGGAGCAAATGCAGCCTGGTTGTATGCTCTGGAAGAGAAGAGCTTCTGTTCCAAACAGCCTCAGCTTGTATTTATAGGCATGCTAAACGAGTGGCACCGCTTCCAATCCAGGTCACTGCATTCCTCCTGCTTGTCTCACCCTCCTGATTGCGTTTGGGCAGCGAGGAACCTGCGGAGCTGGCTCTGACACCGGCAGAGGTGACTTTAGCTTGAACCCTGCCGAGGTACGGGGCAGCGCTGCCTGAGCCTCCTGGCTCCGAACCCACTCTGCGGCCTGATCCCAGTGGGTTGGGATGTGGTGGTGTGCTGGGCAGTGAAACACACCCTGGATGTGCTAAATGATAGCGTGTCTGGGGATATCTCTGAGCAAGATGTTCTGTCTTGACTAAATTGTGTTCCCTGTTTGTATCTCTGGGCTCAGCAGACCCAGTTAAAATGAGGGCACCAGCAGATGGAAATCCTCAAGGAGATGTAATTGGGGATTTTTGGCTCTGGGGCAGGCGATGAAGCAATGTACAGGTTTGCCTGCAGAGTCTCAGCAGTGTGAGGTTAAGCTCCTCTCTGTTCCTTCTTGCAGCCGACGGGGATAGAGGTGGAGCTGGATATTGGAAATGGTGATGTGCGGGAGCCGAGCCCAGCGACACCCACGCAGGAGCTCTGATGCAGATGGAAAGGCAAATGTCAAGGTCCAAGAGAGCTGCAGGCAAACACCCTGAAGGCTTCACAGAATGCCTCTGAGCGTCCTGCAACCCTGGGAAGGACCAATATGAAGAAGCTCTTGTTCTTCAGCATTGGGGAGAAAATGTGTGGGGTTCCCTGGAGATCTTTCCTCAGCAGATGCAGCCTGTGGTGGCTGGGCTGCATGGGCAGCACGACAGCCAGGTCCTCT